TTAAATATTCCCGCGCTCAGTCAATAAATCTTTTTACCTAATTTTAGTTCAGATTTTTGAGTTTATGAAAAAGCTTCAATTTATTTAAAAAAGAAAAAGCAATTTATTTTTATCATGGATTATACGACCGTAATAATTTATTTAAATTTTGTTCTTTATTTTAATTTTTTTCATGCGTAATGGAAAACTACATACAACTCCAAATTTTCATTATTTTATAATAATTATGTTAGTCATTTTAGTAGTCCAATAATTTTTTATATAGCTTGGTAGTCGATCAATAAACTATTATTGTCATTTTTGTGATTTGAGTATTTAAGCGTTGCAGTGGATAAATTATCAACGTAATTTGTATTGGCTGTCCCTTTCATTTATATACCACATATTTATACAATCAGGATTAGTAAGTCATTTCTTATACTAATGATTTTATAAAAATATTTCCTATGGCTAATCGATCACTGGGTCAGCTAGTATAAACAAAAATTACGTGCGGCCCGCCATAATATTTTAAAATTCAAGTTGGCCCGTGGGTTAAGGGGGTTGTTCTTTTTTTATTTTTATTTGTTTCGGTTTTGAGATTTTTTGATATTATGAAAGCTAAAAACCTTAGAATTATTTAAAAAAAAAATCATCTCAATATCTATTTTTTTGACAAAGTTATAGATATATTATATATCTCTATACGTATGATCCTCTGAACGCGCTTTTTATTGCCCCGCGAGCTATTGTATGCCAGCTGCCTCTTTTTCATTATAATACCTCATGCACATGACCTTTTTAATGTGTCAGCATCTTTGAACACCATCGTGTATTTCGTACATTAAATTAAATGGTGTATTTAGTACATTATATTAAAAACTTTAAATACGTTTTTCTCAAATTGACTCTTTTCAATGCGGTGCCACAAATTAAAAAAAAACTACAAGTCGGATCGACTTGCATTTTTTTTTAATTTGTTCACCATTGCAATACCTAGTCCCCCTACCTCAAACAACTTGATAACATTACGCAAAAAAATTTTGCGAACCTTCTCGTCCCAAAAAAAGGCCTTTTTTGACACTTTTTTTTAAATAGCTGCCATTTTTTTCCTTCTTGCTTTTTTTCTTTCATTTTGGTAGAGGGACTGGATTCAAACTTCTTCTTCAACGTAGTTTCGTTTTTTTTTTGTTTCTGGCGATGCGCAACGGATTTATCTGTGGCACCGCAAACGAGATCGATTTTGCAATGCCCACTTTGGCGCCCCCTGGTTAAATAATGACGGCGAAAAAAAAATAATAAAAAATTTCTTAATATTCTATGGTTTTGTAATTTTTGTTTAAAAAAAACCGCATGTCTTTATGATAAATACATTCCGAGAAAAACAAAAACAAATACCTTGCATGTTTTGTAACAAAAAAAAGAACAACCCCCTTAACAAGGTTACTCGTTCTTGCTATATAATATACATACATATCAGTAGCATTAAATACTACATTGAAATCTGTGTTGTCTATAAAAATACTTTGTTTAAAATTGTTTAAAATTATGTTCTTCAAATATATAATATAGCAACTATGAATAATAAAATACAAAACTTACGTTTCTTAAACACGATATTTTTAGATGTTTTATTATATTGTTATTTTGTTTGTTGATTTGCTGTTTTATTTTAATTATAATAACGCTTAAATAATAGTATGAATTAGTATTAAATAATGACGTTTCACATGACGAATCAGTATTTGGCGTAACGCATTTTCGTCCGATTTTTGCTGAATTACTTCCTAGTCGCTTTTGAAAATTCAGAACATTTTCAAAAATTCAGAATTTTTGAAATTTTCGAATTGTTTGAAAAGTTTTAACATTTTTGAAAATTATGAAAAATTTAGATTTTTGGAATATTTCGTAAATTTCTAAAGTTTTAAATTTTGGAACATCCAATATTGAATACTTGAATAATTGAACATATGTTATGGAAACATTTTAAAATTTACCAAATTTTAACTTCCCGTAGGGCAAGTTATAGTAATCTCAAAAAAATCGAAAATGAAAATTTTTGCATTTCTCGACGTTTCAAAGGTTTCTGAATATTTTGGCATACCTTAGAAAAAATGGATGTATGTGTGTGTGTGTGTGTGTGTGTGTATGTGCGTGTGTGGTCTGTGTGTGTATGTGCGTGTGTGTATGTATGTGCGGATACAAATTTTCGTCGACGATTTCGGGAACACCGATCAACCGATTTGAATAATTCAAAAAACATTCGATTCGTATTGATAAGGAGACGTGCTGATTAGTTTTTGGCGAAGTCAGGTCTAGCCGTTCCGAGATACGTGGCAAAAAGTGCCGAAAACGGTAACTCAGTTTTTGAGAGAACGGAGCGTCCGATTTTAATAATTCAAAAAACATTTTACTTGTATTGACAAGGTGAAGAACCGATCAAATTTTCATAAAGGCAGGTCTAGCGGTTTCGGAGATCTAATGAAAAAAGTAAAAAAAAATGCCATTTGGCGGTCAAAAATGATCATTAGACATATGCACATCAAATTATCACATATTTTATAGAGATTTTAACAATAAGTATAATTTTGGTTTACATTCCTATGGGTTCCGTACCAATGTTTACGCGTTAGACGTCGACGCGGCGCTTACGCGGTTTGATATTTCGTCTTTATGCAGTTAAAGCAGTACGATTGCTTTGAAAAAAAGTTTAGATCTTTCAAAATATGTCAAAATAAAGAATCTTTTTTTTTTTCAAAAAAAAAAATTAAATAAAATTTTTTTTTTCAAAAAAAAGTAATTTTTTGTCTAATTGTTTGTCAAAAATCTTATTGTTTCGAAGTAAATTTTTTTCAAAAATGTTAATCGTTTTTAAAAAAATAATAATTTTTGGTACGGGAAGTTTCAGCAAATTTGCCTTAAGGCACGATGCCTTAATTGCTTTAAGACAGAATTCCACTTACAGCTAGTTGAAAAAAAGTCCACTTTTGTTCCTTCCTAAAAAAGTAAATAGAACAAAATTAGCAACAATGTTTGATCGTCTAATAATAAATTAACCCCTTCGCTTACTAGCTAATATCTAAATTTACGGGCCAAAAGCGACACTAAGGTCGGCCGCACGCAGTGGCATAAACAACTTGGCTCGGCGTTCGAAACTATACAAATCATAAAATTCCTGTAGTTTGTATATACACTTGCTCGGTACAATTGACTTTACAAGATGTTTGATAAATAATTACATTGATTCTTAAATAAAACTGAAAATTGATTATTACAAATATATAAATTTATACATATAATTATAAATTTATATATTTGTGCGAAAAGTATGTCACTACCACTGTCAGTACTACTGGTAGCAAAGTCATCACTGCTATGTAATTCATCACTAATTTTTTCTTGAAGACATTATAATGTGTATTATTTTAAAACTTGCTACAAACGATGTATGTATATGCTTCACCAAGTTTCGGAAATGTTTTATTTATATTTCTTTCGGTAGACTTACGACGACTCTAAGGCGTCCTATTCGCGTTTGGGCCGATAACCTTGCGACTACTCTGAGGCGCCATATTTGTGTTTGGGCCTAATACCTTGCTATGCCTCTGAGGCGTCATATTTGTGTTTGGGCCGATAATCTTTGGACGCCTCTGAGGCGTCTTTGTAAGCGAAGGGGTTAAATGTATTAAATTATTATAAATTTAATTAATATTGTGATCATATTTTATTAAACTGTTATAGAAATACACTAATATATAAGCCAACTTTCAGCCAAAAGAGAGTTCTTACGTAAATGTTTAAATGTTTCATATTAGGATAATTTTTTTTGGAAAGTTATATTCATACGTAAATTTACAAATATTGGGTAAATATATCATTATTTAATCTCATAGCCATAAATTATATACCATATCCCACTCATACACATCTTGTACTTTAAACATCTATACATAATCGTCAATTAAAATCATTAAAGCCTAATCAATCTGACAGTGCGGTTTTTGGACTAACTTTCAATTAACATTATCCAAAATTCCATAATTTTTTTATATATTTTTAACTTCCCATAGGCCAAGTTATAGTAATCGCAAAAAAATCGAAAATGAAAATTTTGATATATCTTTACGTTTCAGAGGTTTCTGAACATTTTGGCATACCTTAAAAAAAATGGATGTATGTGTGTGTGTGTATGTATGTGCGGATTCAAATTTTCGTCGACGATTTCGGGAACACGTATCAACCGATTTGAATAATTCAAAAAACATTCGATTCGTATTGATAAGGAGACGTGCTGATTAGGTTTTGGCGAAGGCAAAAAGTGCCGAAAATGGTAACTCAGTTTTTAAGAGAATGGAGCGTCCGATTTGAATAATTCATTTTAATTCATTAAAACATATCATTTGTATTGACAAGGTGGAGAATTGATCAAATTTTCATGAAGGCAGGTCTAGCGGTTTCGGAGATCTAATGAAAAAAGTAAAAAAAATGCCATTCGGCGGTTAAAAATGATCATTAGACATATGCACATCAAATTATCAGATATTTTATAGATATTTTAACGATAAGTATAATTTTTTTCTACATTTCAATGGGATCGTACCAATGCTTATGCGTTAGACGGCGGCGCGGCACTTGCGCGCTTTGATATTTCGTCTCTATGCAGTTCAAGCAGTACGATTGCTTTGAAAAAAAGTTCAGAATTTCGAAACTATGTCAAAATGAAGAAAACATTTTTCTTTTCAACAAAATTTTGCTCTCAAAAAAAAAAATTTGTTTTCAAAAAAAAAAAATTTTTTTTTTAAAAAGTAATTTTTTGTCAAATTTATAGTTTCTCAAAAATCTAATTTTTTCGAAGTAAAATTTTTTCAAAAATGTTAATCGTTTTTTAAAAAATAATAATTTTTGGTACGGGAAGTTCTAGCAATTTGCCTTAAGGCACGATGCCTTAATTGCCTTAAGACAGAATTCCACTTACAGCTAGTTTAATAAATAAAATGTTAAGTAAATTTGTTATTTGACAGCGGTATTAGAGAGAAGAGTCCTCTAGAACAACAACCATGGCAAATAGCAAATGCCAAGGCTTGTGAATATTTAAACAAAGGCTTGGACAGTTTGGTAGTAGTTGCGAAGGAGCACCCATCAAATATTGTTAGAGGATTGCTACCATTTACAAGAAACTCGGCACCTATTGCCATTTTTTCAGTTTCCAGAGAACCGCTTATCAATCTGTATAGTGAATTAAAACAAGAAGGATATGTCACTGGCATAAAGATTACAAGCAATTGGATGAGAACTTATCAGGTTAACTATTATATTTAACTAATTTACAATAATTGATTATCCAGTGATATAACAATAGCACATGTGTTTTGTCTCACAAATATAAGTCAGTTCACTCATTTTAGGTATTGGCGAATCGTACACATCCTGATGTAAATATGAATGCAACCAGTGGATTTTTATTAACAGGATGGAAAGTTGATCCAAAATCAAATGAACAAAGCTAGTAATAATTACTTAAAAGTTTTCTATGATATTATATAATGTATTAATAAATGAAGAATGTATGAGTTAATTTTTTGTTTGTTTTTTCTTTCTGTTTCTTAACATTCCGGAGGCTAATTGAATGTGAAAATCGACTGAACAGTTTCATCATAATTAATAGTATGAAATGTAATGTTTCACAAGTGAAAACTTTTTTGTAATCTGTATTCAAATTTTGTTGAAATTCAATTTGTGATTTATGCACAAAGTTAAATCAACTTACTTCTACGCAAAATGGTACTTTTAGCTTGTTTCAATATTTTGTAAAAACTGATAAATATTTTTATCAGTCTAATTTTCTGACAGTCAGTTTAAAGGCGTTGATCAGACAAGACACATTTCATATACCTCTTAAATAAGTGTAAATAAATATGTCATATAAAGATTTCAAAATTTTGGAACTAGAATTACAATATTCACCAAGTAGATGGTCTAAAAGGGATTCTGGAGAAAATGTATTAAAATATCATTTGGAATATGTCACAAAAGGTTAGTTTCTTTATATTTTATATTAAAAATATAATATATAAACATATTATTACTCATATCAGAATAAATATTAATTGATTGATTTAGCAATGATAAAATTGCAATATTTTATACTCTTATATGCATTTGAAAAAGGCCAAATGTTATCTTAAAAACATCTAAATATTAGTAGTTCAACTGTTATCAAAGAAAGAGATAAATCTGATATTATTTATGGTTTACAAACCATGTTACGCAGTTCATAGACACACACACACACGCACATATATATATATATATATATATATATATATATATATATATATATATATAATTCTTCAATAATGGGGTATGAAAGGTTAATCCTCCTAAACGATTATTCGGATTTTCATAAATCCTGAAATTTGTTAAGGAAATTTTCTAGGATTTTTTGATTCATAGAAATATAGTTAAATTGTAGAAATAGATAGAAAAAATTACAAAAACCACTTATCATTGATTGACATTGAAAATATTTGAGGCATTGTTTGACATTAAAAACAAATGATTTTTTTTTAAAAATTGCTTTATTTGACTTAAATATATACATTGACTTTTACATAAAGATACTGTGTACAGAAAGATTCTGTGAATAGCATTATACTATCATAATATAATATTGTTTGCATATATGTATATATATATATATATATATATATATTCAATTAATTAATATAAGTATGAAAAGAGCTACTACAACATACTGCCATAAAAACTTACTACCATAAAAACAAATGGAGAATGTCATTTGCCAAACATTTCCATTCACTTATAAACTAAGACAATATTAAAATATGTTATATTTATGATTATGAATAAGAAAAATGTAATGTCTACATTATTATTGCCGAAAAGCAGCTGAGATGTGCCAAAAATTAAAATAATATAAGATACATTATATATTTAGCACAGGAACAATCTGTGCATGCGCCTGACGGCTGTCTGTGAATATACCCTTTATAATTAATTTAACAAATTATTATTTTTTAACTAATGCAATCGTGTTTTGCCTTACATTACTAAATCACGATACAAAAAAAATTACTTATTCAAAAAATATGGCATTGGATACGGAATATTTACTCAAGTCAATGGAGCGTTTTGTGTCAGAATTTTTTTACTGTGCTTCAATTTCTATGAAATTTTGGAATTAGGTTCATCTTACTCTCAAGTTTAAAAGTGAAAATAATTTAGACTCTTTTGCCACTTTACGGGGGGATGTCATTTCTTTTCATCGTTATCGATAAAAAAACTAATTATAAGAGAAAAATGTTTAATAATGTTTTTTAACAAAGCAAATACTTTTCATGTTACTGGCTATTGAAAATTTGTTTCTTTTTTGCGATTTTCATCGTTTTTTGCTAATATCTTCAAAAATATACCTTTTAACGAAAATCATGTCATGATCAAAATTATATCAATTGACATCTTAATAAGTCGGTGTTTTATGAAGTGTTCTAGAAACAATATTAGGCTAGATATGAAAATAGGGTTTTATACTGCTCAAAATAAGCTTTAAAATGAGTACTTCTGCGTGTAAAATGAGTGAGCTATCATGCAAATAACAGACGCATACTAAGTTTTTCAAATTTTCCATTTAAATCAAATGGTTTATGAGTGCAATTTCTACCAAAATTAAAAATAATTGTATTCCATCTGGAATTTACTTGGTTTACAGCCGGCCACAGAAGATACTGTATAATTGCGCAATCCGTGACTTGCATATATATTCTGTAGGGTCTGTGGCACGGGGTATTCTAATATTGTCTAGGGTCTGTGGTATGTTTTTTGTGCAACTTGACAGACTGGTACAAGCGAGTATGAACACGGGGTATTCTAATATTGCCTAGGGTCTGTGGTATGTTTTTTGTGCAACTTGACAGACTGGTACAAGCGAGTTGACGTGTGCACTTATCGATTATTTTAATTGTGCAATCAATTAAGTTGACAAGTTCATTCGTTGGCCGCGTATGGTAGCGCATGTCCCGTTTTGGTTTATTTAAATTAGCCTTCTGAACAGTTTGAATTCTCTTCTGATGCTGTGAATATATGAATTTTTTTTTGTTATAATCTATTTTTGTTAATATATAAATTAATGAAAAAAAATATTTTTAGGTTATGTTTTGTCGTTTCTTAGTGACATGCTTGATATGCATGCGCAAATACTTAAACATAAATTCGAGCCATCTGTAGGCACTGTGAAAATACGCTTGGTTGAGCATTCCTTCAGTTGTACATGTATTGTATTGTAGTACGTAGTAACGTCTGTGGCCGGCTTAAGGGGTTAGGGGTACTTGGAGGCATGGGGAGTTATCTTCAAACAAATGCGCGTTGCACTGTTTTGGTCTTTAGTAGTGCCAATTTTTAAAAACAGATGGCTCATGTGTACTCATTTCAACTACAAATTGTTCGTGGTTCGTGCAAGTAGCTGTCAAGTATTTAATCGCTGTACGAATAACCTAAGCATAACCTAAGTTTGTGTGTAGGTTAATTGTTTCTAATTAATTAATTGTGTTTAAGTGAACATTTTAGTGAAATTTAATATGGCAAAGTGTTTTTATAGTACCCAAAAAAGTGTCAAGTGCGGGTTAAAATATTTACCTATTCCAATACAAGTTTCCGGAAAGGTATTTTTTAATAATAATTGCAGCAATAATTACATATAATCAAGATATTTCAACATGTTATTATATTGAATAGGTGTCTTGGGGGTACCTGCAAATTGCTGCAAAATGCACGAACAGAGCGCAGGAGTACTTTTGACAACCAAGGAATGCAACATGTAATGACAAGAAGGATTCATAAACAATGCTATAATTTAAGGAATAAGTCCTACAAAAAGTCTCCAAAGGTCTACTATTTTTGGAGACAAATATTTATTTTGCGATGTCCTCAAATATTGAGAAAGTTGCATTCAGAAATATAAGAGTATAGCAGTATTCACGAGTGTTTATTTAAAACATTAGGTTCAGCTATTTCTTTTAAAAAGTATTAGTAACAGTGTTTTGATGTTTTTTGAAATACCATTATCTTCGGAATTGTTATATGATCGGATTGAATCTCATATTGTTGATGTTGCAAAACATCATGTTATTCAGTATTGGTTCAAATGTTCATCAACGTAAGTTCATTGTTATATTTAATAAGATTATCTATTACATTAGCAAATGTAAACACTTGTGCAACATCCGAATATAATGTTTAAATTCAAGATATATGTGTTACTTACCTTAGGAATTAAAAATATTGCTTTTATCTTTTGATTCATAAACAATTGTATGTGCATAAAACATTATTCTGTTCGCACTTTGTTGATCTTTTATGGCAATTTCAATGATAATGTTTTCATGATGAAACATGGCTAAATGTAATGTTATAAAACACTCGTACAGCAACTATTCAAAGGTTTTGTTAAATGCAACTTTACTATTAATTCATTAGATAGCAAAATAACTATTACATGCAGAATTAATAAAGAACAATGTCTCGTAAATGAGGTTTAATCCTAGGAATTTGAATTTCTCTCAATTTTGATATTTATATATATATATATATATATATATATATATATATATTATGTTTTTAGGACTTTTGTTTGTGAAGTATTTGTACTTTTTAACAAATTGTTTTTTTTTTAATCTTTTAAATTTTTGTATTATTTGTCATTCCTTCTAAATTTGTAATTTCATCGCGTGCTCCTGTGCTTGTAGTTTCTTCTTAAATTTTAAGATTTTAATATATTAATATTAGTCATTAAGTAATTAATATTAGTCTGTTATTTCTGCTTAGTTTAGTAAAATACTTCTGTGGTTTTCTCCACTTAGATCTTTAGTTTTTGAAATATTATTTAAGCATAATTGTGGAATTATAATACTTATAATTATGTATAATAATTATTATATTTTCAAACATTCCATAACTGTTATTATAATTGTTAATATAAACATAATTTTAATTGTTCTTTAAACATATGTAATATCTTTGAAAATACATATTTTGTATTTCGTATGATTTGTTCTTATTTTCAATATTAAAAATTATTCATGTTTTTGGGACTGTATACAATAAGTACAAATTAAGACATAATGCCAGGGGTTAATTTAAATATTATACATGTGCTGCCATCTATTTTTAAAAATTGGTATTTCAATCGAGGTAACGTCAAATCGCCAGACATCTATTATACTTGTTTATCTATGCTTGGAGGCACGAAAAAATGAGAATTTTCAATATTTTTATTTTGTTATTAAACGATGTTTTTCTACAAATATATTAATGCGGTATTATTATACAATGTTTTAATCTGAAGTAACAAAAATATCAGAAAAAATAATTTAATATTCTCGAAGTTATAGCTGTTTTTGTTGACTCTGTTTCAAAAAAACGGTCCTGGCGGTGACCATCATAACTCCTTAGAGATTCATCTAAAATTAATCAAATAAAAAAAATAGTTTTATAAATAGATAATCCTGGGCCTGATCGAAGGTTTTCTTTTTTTTGCAAAAATTAACAAAATGGCAGCATCAGAA